CGCGCCGGCCCCCGCGCCGTCGCGAGCCCCGTCCGCCGCGCCCGCGCCGCGGCCCACGCCGGCGCCCGCGCCGCGGCCGACCGGCGGGTCCTGCGAGGACAGCGCGTCGTGGCACCAGGCCGGCAAGCCGAGCCGCGGCTGCGCCTACGTCGCGGGCAAGGCGTCGCGCTGCTCCAAGGAGGACGCCGACGGCGTCTCCGCCGCCGACGCGTGCGAGCGCGCGTGCGGGCGCTGCGACGAGCCGGCGGCGTGCGAGGACAGCGCGTCGTGGTACGCGAAGAAAGCCAAGAAGGACTGCGACTACGTCGCCGAGCAGCCCGAGGAGCGATGCGGCAAGAAGGGCCTCGACGCCATCCGCGCGATCGTCGCCTGTCCGGCGGCCTGCGGCGCGTGCGACGACGACTGCGCGGACTCGGCGTCGTGGTACTCGAAGAAGAGCAAGAAGGACTGCGCCTACGTCGCCGCGGACCCGGGGAAGCGCTGCTCGAAGCAGGGCCAGGGCTCGATCCGCGCCGAGGACGCGTGCCCCGCGGCCTGCGGCGCGTGCGACACGCCGGCGCCGTCGTCGGCCGCCGTCGACGCGGCGTGCGCGGACTCGTCGTCCTGGACCGAGGCGGGCCGGCCGAGCCGCGGCTGCGCCTACGTCGCCGACAAGCCGTCCGAGAAGCGCTGCGGCAAGGAGGACGAGTCCGGCGTGTTGGCTTCGGCCGCGTGCGCGGCCGCGTGCGGCGCGTGCGGGCCGCCGCCCGTCTCGCCCTTCGGCTAAATAACCTGTGTCACGGTGACTCTCGCCCGTGCGCGCGCCGCCCGTCTCGCCCTTCGGCTAAATAACCTGTGTTGTGTGTGTACTCCTCGATGCCGCCCGTGCTTCTAGGCAGCGAATTACTCCTCGATCTCCAGGCGGCAGACGGGGCAGATGCGGCTCGACTCGAACCACTGCATGAGCGTGTCCCGCGCGAACGCGTGGCCGCAGACGAGTTCGACCGCGGGCGCGCCCGCGGGCAGCACGTCCTTCGTGATCGGGTCCTCGAGGGGCGCGTCGAGGGGCCGCTCGACGAGCGCGGCCTTGGCCGCGGCCGAGAGCCCCCGTTTGTAGTTCTCGTCGTCGAGGCGCGAGAGCGCCTCGTAGTCGGCGCCGCGCGCGTCGCCGTCGTCCTCGTAGACGGGCTCCTCGGCCTCGTGGCCCAGCGCCTCGGCGTGCGCGACGAGCGCGCGCGCGCTGCAGAAGGCGCGGCCGCAGGAGCACCAGTGGGGCTCCTCGCCGACGCGCGGCTCCTCGCCGCCGCAGTGGCTCACGAGCGCCGCCTTGCTCGTGAACTGCGCGCCGCACATGGGGCAGACGCAGGACCCGTCCTCGGCGACGGCGACGGCGCCGTCGCCGTCGCCGCCGCCGTAGTCGCCGTGGGCGCCCTCGGGCGCGTGCCCCGTCGCCTCGCAGTGGCCCGCGAGCGACTGCGGCGAGCAGAACGTGGACCCGCAGGAGCAGTAGTAGGGCTCCTCGTCCGGCTCGGGCAGGAAGCCGCCGCAGTGCTCGATGAGCTGCGCCTCGCTCGGGAACGTCGCCGCGCAGAGCGGGCAGGCGACGGCCGCCATGGAGGCCATGGTTTTGGTGGCGCGCGGCGGCGCGCCGCGGCGGAGCGCTGCGCGGTTGTTGGCGCGACGGCGGCGACGGGACGCGACGAGCGGCGCCGAGTCAAGGCGCGCGGACCCAGGCCGCGGACCGCGTCGACGTCGACGTCGATGGACAGCACCTCGTGGATGCTCTTGTCACTTCGCTCATTCCTGCCACAGCCATCATGGGGCCGATGTCTTGCGCTCCCAGCCCATCTTTCTAACCACATTTGCTGGCCGACTCGGCGCCCGTGAGCGCCACTAAACCTCCTGCTACCAGCGCGCCCACTCGCGCCGCCCGAGGCTCATCGTCGCAGCCTCCAGGCAAAAAGTCCTCGCAGCCCGATGGCTGCGCACTCGTCCTTGGACACGGCGATCACCTTCGCGAGCGGCGCCGCCTACGGCGTGACGACCGTCGCCGTCGGCCAGCCCTTCGACACGATCAAAACCATCCAGCAGTCGGCGCCCGCGGGCAAGCGGGAGTCGATCCTCACGATCGGCCGCCACCTCTACGCCGCGTCGGGCCTCCGCGGCCTCTGGCGCGGGTCGATGCCCCTGGTGCTCGGCGGCACGTTCATGCGGTCGGCCCAGTTCGGCTGCAACGACCTCGCGCGCGACGCCCTGCGCGACACGGCGCTGCCGCGGTTCCGCATCGGCGGGTTGGTGGACACGCACGTACTCGTCGCGGGCATGTTCGGCGGCGTCGGCCGCGCGCTCGTCGAGGGGCCGACGGAGTACGTGAAGATCCGGCAGCAGATCCTCGGGCCCTGGCGCGCGACGGAGGCGCTCCGGGGGCTGGGGATCACGATCGGGCGGAACACGGCGCTTTTCGCGGTCTTCGTGTGCTGGCTGGACCTGGCGAAGCCCCTGGGGCTGCACCCCTTCTTCTACGGCGCGCTGTGCTCGAACCTGAGCTGGCTCATGCTCTGGCCGGCGGACGTCGTCAAGACGCAGCGCCAGAGCGGCAAGCACGGCGACGCGTCCGCGTTCGCCCTGCTCGCGCGCGCCGCGCGGACGGGCACGCTCTACCGCGGCCTGCTCCCGGGGCTCATCCGGTCCTCCGTGGCGAACGGCACGTCCATGAGCGTCTACAAGTTCGTCCACGCGGAGCTCTCGAGGCTCGCGGGCGTCGAGCAGCACAGCAACATCTAAACGCGCCTCTTTAGTGGTCGCAAGAGGGGCGCGCCTCGGCGGCGGCGGACGCGGCGGCCGTACCTGTGAAACGCCGCCTGGGCCAGAGTCCTCCATAAACCTGGGGACCTGTCTGCGGGCAAGGCTGTGGGCGCGAGAACTTCAACGACTTCAAGCAGAGGGGAATGTTTACTGCAACGGCAGATTTCATCGATCGGCCGACTGATCGAGCGCAGCTCCAGCCGCGGTTCGGTGCGCGCGCCGCGCCGACAGCGGACCAAGGATGGCCGCCTCCGGCGCCCGCCTCATCCCCATGGCGTTCGCCGGCTTCGGCGGCGCGGCCGTGTTCCAGAACTCTGAGAAGGCGTTGGAGTACGTCGGCGAACTGCTGCGGCTCGTCCTCGGCCGCGTCGACCGGCTCGGCGGCGCCGGGGGCGGGGGCGGGGGCGACGCGGCGCTCCTCGAGCGGCTCAACTCGCTGGCGACGAAGGTCGACGTCGCGCTGCTCAACGCGCGCGCGGCGCCCGCGCCGACGGTCGTCGTCCGCGACGGCGGGAGCGGCGCGGGCGCGCGCGCGGCCGTCGCGGGCGCCGCGGCGCTCGTCTTGTACGCCAAGGTGCGGGGCTACGGGTTGAGCGACCTCAAGCCCGTGACGGCGAAGACGCTCACGTCGGCCATGGGCAGCGTGGGCAAGAGCTTGGGCGCCGTGAGCGATTTGGTCTCGAACGTCCGGTCCGCGCTCACGGAGCGCATCGACAAGGTGAGCCAGTCCGTGGACGACGTCCACGAGGAGCTCGGCGAGGTCCACGAGGGCGTCGAGGAGGCCAAGCAGGAGATCGTGGCCACGCGCGAGGTCATCGACGACATCGCGCTCAAGCAGGACTATTCCGCGCGGGGCATCCACGCGCTCTGCGGCGTCGTCAGCGAGCTGCTCAAGAACGCGGCTACGACGCCGGCCATCGCCAACCTCCAGAATTTTACGCTCATCGGCGCGAGGACCCGCGGCGTCACGCCGCCGCCGCTCCACGACGCGCCGAGCCGGCCGCCGCTCGCGCCGCCGCGGGACCCCGCGGACGACCTCGACGACGGGACCGGCGCCGCGTCGGACCTCCAGGCGGCCATCAAGAACATCGAGGCCCTCGGAGCGCGCGCCCAGGAGGCTACATCGCCCTAGCCTTAGTGGGGCGCGAGCTCCGGGGGCGGGTCCGCGGCGAAGTACGCGTCGCGGAGCGCGTCCGCGCAGGACGCGCGCGCGTTCGGGTCCAGCGCGAGGAGCCGCGCCACGAGGGGCGTCGCCGGCGTCGCGTTGAGCAGCGCGCCGAGGTCCTCGGACCGCGCGTCCGTGAATTTGACGTACTTGCGGAGGCTCGCGACGCCCGGCCACGACGCGTCGTCGGGCGACCCCAGGACCGCGAAGATCCGCGCGAGCTGGTCCGTCTCCGAGTCGCCGCGGAAGACGGGCCGGCGCAGGGCGAGCTCGGCCAAAATGCAGCCCGCGCCCCAGGCGTCGACGCCCGGCCCGTAGTCCGCCGCGCCCAAGAGGAGCTCCGGCGGCCGGTACCACAGCGTGCAGCACTCGTAGGACATGCGGCCGCCCGGGTCCGCGACGTAGCGCGCGTAGCCAAAGTCCGCCAGCTTCAGCACGCCCGCCGCCGAAATCAGCAGATTCGCCGGCTTGACGTCGCGGTGGAGCACGTGGTGCGAGTGCAGGAACGCGAGCGCGTCCAAGAGCATGAAGCCGTAGCCCTTGGCCACGCCGTCGTTTACGAGCGCGCCGCCGCCGTCGTAGAGCACCTTCTCCAGGTCCGTCGCCAGCAGCTCGAAGACGAGGCTCAGCGTCGCGTCGCCGCCGGGGTTCCGGAAGACGTCGAACAGCCGGACGACGTGCGGGTGCCGCGCGTCCCTCAGCATCTTGATCTCGCGCAGCACCTGGAAGTTGACGCCCTCGGCGCTGCCCGCGGCGCAGCGCACCTTCTTGATGGCCACCTCGACGCCGTCGGCCCTGCGCGTGGCCTTGCGCACGACGCCCCACTGGCCCTGGCCCAACGCCGTGCCCACGTCGTAGCGGTCCATGGGCGGCGCGCGGCGGCGCGTCGGCGGCGGCGCGGAGCGCTGCGGCGCGGCGCGGAGCGACGCAGGAGGTGCGTGCCTCGCGGTCGCGACGGACGCGAAGCGCAGCGCTCAGCGGCGAGCGAGAGAGCCCATAGCTCGAGAGGCCTCTCAGCCGCTCGAGCGCTCGAGCCGACGGCCTCGGCGCGCTGCGCCCGCGCCCGCCGCGCCGCCCCGAACAGCGGTCGGCGCGTGTTACGCGCGGGTCGGCTAGCTCACTCGTCGTGGACGTCCTCGAAGAAGAAGGAGTAGGCCGCGAAGACGAGGAAGATGAGGCCGCCGACGACGTGGACGTGCTTCTCGGAGATGCGCGACGCGAGCATGCGGCCGCCGACGACGGCGAGCCCCGTGCACATGGAGTGGCCCACGATGCCGCCCGCCGTGACGCCGTAGGGGTCCTTGGCGGACGCGAGCGCGATCGTCGCGATCTGCGACCGGTCGCCCCACTCCGCGAGGAACGTGAGCATGAAGGCCTGGCCCAGCACCTTGACGGCGTCGGTCTCCTCCGCCGGCGGCGGCGCCTCGGCGCCGTCGTCCTCGACGTCCTTCTTGCCGTGGCCCGCGCCGCCGAGCTCCTCCTCGACCTCGCCGAGCTCCTCGGACACGCCGCTCCCGGACATGGACGACGCGTCCTTGAGCATGCGGCACCCGAAGTAGAAGAAGAGCAGCGCCGACGCGTAGTGCGTGTAGGTCCGCGGCATCAACGCGGGCAGCGCGTAACCCATCGCGGCGCTCAGCACCGTCATGACCGCGAGCGCGGACACGGCGCCGAGGAAGATGACGAGGCGCGCGTGCTTCATGGCCAGGATCGCCGCGATGAAGAAGGTCTTGTCGCCGATCTCCGTCGCCCAGATCATGCCCATGGAGTTGACGAACGCCGCCGCGAACTTCGACGGCGCCGCGGGCTCTCCAGAAACAGCCGCGGGCGCTTTCACGGCGCCCGACGCCGCGCCGATGCGGAAGAGCGACGCGACGGCGGACTCGAACTCGTTCGCGTCGAGGGCCGCGTCGCCGTTCGCGTCGCCGACGCGGAAGGCCTCGCTCAGGCCCGGATCCAGCGGCGCAAACCGGGGCCGACGCGCGACAGGGCCGCGATCGCGAGCAGCGCGGCGCGCGCGCACCGCGCCATTGGTCACGGGCGGGCTGGTGGTGGTCTCTGCGACGCGGCCTTGGGGTGGTCCCGACAAGACGAGGCCGCGTCAAAGGGCGACGCGCAAGAGGCGCGTCGAAGTTTGGATTGCTTCGTCAACGAGACGATGTTGCCGCCGTCTCGGCGAGCCTCCACTTGAGCCTCCCGCGCCCCTGGCCTCAGCCTAAGCCTCAGGACAACACGTTACTTCTCTAGTACCGGACGAGGAACCGGCTCCCCGGCTGGACGCCCTCGGGGATGGCGACCTGGACCGTCGTCCCGTCCGGCGCCGCGATGCGGAACGCCATCCCGGGCGCGCAGCCCGGCGGCGCCTCGACCATGAGCTGCCGCTGCTCGGCGCCGGGAGCCAGCGTCGGCACGACCGTCGGCTGCGGCGCGGCGGGCGTCTCGGGGAGCTGGGCGGGCGTCTCGAGGAGCTCCTCCAGCGACGGCGACGGCGACAGCGGCGCCGGCGCGACCGCGCCCCCCAGCGGCGCGAGGGACCCGAGCGACGGCGACGGCGAAAGCGGCGCCGGCGCGACGGACCCGAGGGACGCCTGGGGCGTCACCCGGGCCGGCGCGACGGACCCGAGGGACGCCTGGGGCGTGAGGGCGCCGAACGACGCCTGGGGCGAGAACGCGTCCTGCTCCGCGAGCCACGACCGGCAGGCGTCGAACGTCGGCCGCGCGGCCGGGTCGTCCGCCCAGCACCGCTCCATCAAAGCGACGAGGTCCGGCGGCGCGTCTTCGGGCACGGGCGGCCGCGCCTTCTGGACGAGCACCTTCATGCCGATCTGCGAGGGGCGGAAGAGTCGCGCAATAGGTGCCAAAAAAGCGGGACGTGGCGCCCGCGCCTGCATGGGGTTGATGCCCGGCCAGGGCACGCCGCCGTCGAGCACCTCCCAGATCAAAATCGCGAACGCGTAGACGTCCGTCTTCTCCGTGAACGCGTTGGCCCCTAACAGCTCGGGCGCCATGTAGGCCGGCGTGCCCTTGGCGCCGCCGCCCTGCTGCGTCGCCATCGTCGTCGCCGCCGTGTTCAGGTCGTTCGACTTCGAGAGCCCGAAATCCGTGACCTTGCAGCGCCGCCGCGCCTCGTCGAGGAGCACGTTCAGCGTCTTCAGGTCCCGGTGCTCCACGCCGCGCGCGTAGAGGTACTGCATGCCCAGCGCGACGTCGCCGAGCCACCGCCGCTTCTGCGCCTCGTCGGCGGCGACGACGGCGCCTTCGCCGTGCTCCGCGCGCGTCTCGTCGAGGCGCGCGCGCAGCGTGCCCCCGGCCATGTACTCCACGACGAAGCCCAGCCACGTCGGGTCCGTCGTGACGACGCCCAGCACCTGGACGACCCGCGGGCTCCGCAGCTTGACCATGATCGCCAGCTCCGTCGCGAAGGCCTTCAGCAGCTTCGCGCGCGCGGCCGCCGCGCTCCCGACGAGAGACACCCGCTTGAGCGCGACGACGTCGCCCTGGAACTCCGCGCGGTGCACCGTGCCCTGGCCGCCGCGCGCGAAGGGCTCGGGCTCGCAGGAGTCGAGCTCGACCTCGTACTGCGCGAGCGCGCGGTCCTTGTCCTGGCGCGCGAGCGCCTTGCCCGCCGCGGCGCCGTGCCTCGCGAGCGTCGTCCGCCGGATCTCGTCGAGGAGCGCGGCCTGCTGCGCGTTCTGGTTGATGACGATGCCCACGCCCTCCGCGAGCTTGTCGAGCTTGAGCCCGAGCGCCCTCGAGCTCCTCGCGCTCCACGGCGGACCCCCGCTCGATGCCGCACATGAGCGCCGCGCGCTGCGCGGCCGCCTCGTTGTTCGCGTCGACGGCCTGCTGGCCTAGGAGCTGGATGAGCGACTCGACCTCCTGGAAGCGCTGCGTCTGGAGCGCGAGCTGCTGGAGGTCGAGCGCGGACCCGAGCTCCGCGCTCAGGTCGCAGAGCCGCTTGTCGAGGAGCGCGAAGTTCCGCGCGTCGAGCGTGCCCGAGCAGAGCTTCGCGAAGGCGCCCTTCTCGGCGAAGCGGCAGCGCGTCGACGGTCCGCGACACGGCCTCGACGCGGCCCGTCGGCAGGCCCGCCGTCGCCCGGACGACGTCGTCGAGCTTCTGCGCGATCTCGAAGCCGCGCCGCCGCAGGAGGCCCGCGTCCTCCTTGTTGAAGCGCACGAGGCGCGCGGCGACGGCGAGCTCCGCGAGGGCCTGCGTGAACGGGTAGAGGCAGCAGTTCAGCGGCGGCGGCGCGGCGGCGCTCAGGCCCGTCAGCGCGCCGGCGAGCGGGCCGAGCACGTCCGTCTCCGTCGCGCTCAGCGCGAACGCGGCGCCCGCGGCCGCGGACGCCGCGAGCACGGGCTTCGACGGCGCCGCGGTCCGCTCGCCGGGCAACACCTTGGTCTTTCGCAGCCGCCGCCGCCGCCGCCAGCAGCAGGCGCACGCGCCGACGGCGCCGAGGACGACGACGACGACGACGACGAGGCCGACGAGCCCGTCCGAGTCCTCGTCCTCCTTCTCCGTCGGGCGGGGCGTCGGCCGCGGCGTCGGCTGCGGCGTGTAGGGCGTCGGGGCCGGCGCGAAAGAGAACGCCTGGGGCTCCGCGACGGCGTCGACGGTCGCCGCGGCGAAGGCGTCGGCGACGCCCGCGTCGGCCGCGGCGCCCTGGACGGCCGCGAGGAAGTCGGCGGCTGTGTAGCCGTAGGCCACGGTGGCGGCTTCGTCGGCCTCGAAGACCGAGGCGTAGGTCACGGTGTAGCTCACGGTGATGCTCTCCTGGAGGCGCCGGCGGGCGAGGTCGCAGCATAGGAAGGCGTGGCCGCAGGGGCAGCAGCCGTCGCCCGTGACGTGCCAACCGTCGCTCGTCTCCGCGTTGCACCGCCGGCCGCTGTCCGTCGTGAGCCAGTGGTACTGGTGGTCGTCGTACGGCACCCAGCAGTCGCCGTAGTACGTGTAGGGGAATTCGTAGTAGTTGGCCGCCATCGTGTTGAACGCGTCCATCGCCGGGTCGCCGTCCCACTCCATCCCCGGGGTCGTCTCGTCCGTCGTGCAGATCTGGTCGTAGGAGCACAGCGTCCCGCCCTCGTCCGCGCAGTAGGCGCTCGCGGTGTCCCAGTCGAAATGCCCCGCGCCGAGCGCCGCCTCGGCGGCTGCCTCGCTGCCGTAGAACCACATCCACGTCGGCCCGGAACCGTACGCGGCGTCCCTGAACGCGACGGCGACGGTCGACGCGTCGACGCCGTAGATGTCGGCGACGGCGGCTTCGTAGACGTCGACGTAGGCCCCGGCCTCGGCCAGGGTCATGCCCGACACGTCCATCGCGCCCGCGACCTTGGCCGCGGGCGCGGGCGTCGGCTCGGGCGTCGTCGGCGCGGGCGTCGTCGGCGCGGGCGTCGGCGCGGGCGCCCACGGCGTCGGCGCGGGCGCGGCGAGGCAGGTCGACGCGATGAAATGGGCGCTATCGAAAAGGTAGAGCTGGCCGGGGCCGCCGGCGTTGTCGTTCTCCTCGACGTCGCAGTCGTCGTCGAGCGGGCAGTTGCAGTAGCCCCCGTCCTCGTAGAAGAAGTGCCCCCCCCGGCAGCAGCCGCCGTCGAAGCAGGCGCCGTCGTTCGCGGCCACGACCGCCGCGCAGGTCTCGAGCGACATCGGCAGAGAGTCGAAGCCGTAGGTCGCGGCGTCGTCCATGTGGATGTAGCCCTCGCAGCCCCGCCCGTAGACGGGCTCATAGCACGCGGCCGCGAACGGCCCCAACGACGGAAAGGGCGTAGGGTGGTCGTAGTCGCCGTCGACCGTGGAGAAGACCCGGACGGACCGCACGGTGTCGTAGCCCGGCACGCCGTCGCCCTCGCCGACGCAGGTGTCGCCGTAGTAGGTGTAGACGTCGCCGTCGCCGTAGTCCCCCGTGGCCACCTGGATCCCGCAGCCGTCCCGGGTCAGGCGGAAGACGTCGGAGTTGTCGCAGATCGGCTGCCAGGCGTCGCCGTGGTACTCGCCGCAGTAGCCCTCGCCCGCGCCGCAGCACGCCTGGCTGGCCGTATCCCCGAACTCGTAGCAGGGCGTCGCCTCGCAGCCGCAGCCGCTGCTCCCGTAGACGCGGACGCTGCAGGGCGACGCACCCGTGTAGAGGCACGCCCACATGCCGTCGTAGACGGTTCCGTCGGACGCCTGGAGCTCGCCGACGTCCGCGCAGGAGACGCCGAGGCACTCGTAGGTCTTCTCGACCTGGGTCTTGAGGTACTCGTAGCCGTTGACGGACATGGGCGCGGACGCGTCCACGGAGAGGTTGTCGACGATGACCTCCGCGACGCTCGACGAGCAGTAGTGGATGCGCGGGAGCACGGCGGCGGCGAAGGCCCAGGCCTCGCCCCACTCCTTGGGGCAGTCGCCGTCCGTGCACGAGCCCTGGGCGTTGGCCGGGTCGGCCTTGAACGCGCTACGGAGGAGGCCCTGGATCAAGGGGATCGTCATCTGGTCGACGATGAGGTCGAACTCCTCGACGACGGAGTTGCACTGGCCGAGCAGGATCTTGTCGCGGCCGAGCTCGGCGTACCAGAGGGCCTCGGTGTTGACGTTGGCGTCGCCCGTGATGCCGTCGGCGCACGTGCCGAAGTTCGCGCAGCGCTTCTCGGCGAGCTGGTAGAGCATCTGACCGGAGCCGGAGCCGTCCGTGCCCTCGATGGAGCCCGCGTAGAAGGCCCAGCCCTCGTCCCAGGCGTGGGGCGAGTCGCCGCCCCTCGTCGCGTCGTTGTCGTAGATGTCGCCGCTGAGACAGTCCATGATCGCGTCCTCGAACTCGTGGAGCACGTACATCCAGAAGGCCTGGTGGACGACGCCCTTCTTCACGAGCTCCGCGCGCATGAGGTTGTCCTTGCTGGCCCAGGCGCCGCCGTCGAAGGCCTTGCGCACGAAGGTGTCGGCGTAGTCGTCGTCGCCCCAGTAGTTCTTGTAGATGTTCCACCACTTCTCGGCGGCCATCTTGGACGCGCCGGACGTGGCGAACTCCTGGAGCGTGCGGATCGCGCCGGAGCCCTTGATGGAGTTGCCCCGGGCGTCGGCCCAGGCCTCCTTGCCGTAGCACGAGTCCGTCGCGTCCGTCGTCGTGACGTCCGCGGGGGAGCAGAGGCCGCCGCCGCCGTTCGAGTAGACGAACTCGGCCTGGGCGAAGTCGTGGGAGCTCGCGGCCGCGGAGATCTCCTCGACGTCGAGATCGATCATCGCGTGGTGCGTGACGTCTGTCTCGGGCACGTAGTTTGCGATGGGTTCGATCTCGCACGTCACGGTGAGCACGTAGTCGCCCGCGGCGCCGTCGTTCCGCGCGTTGTCGCCGCACTCGTCGTCGCTCATGTCGACGTAGCCGCTGACCTGGAGCACGTACGTCGCGCCCTCTTCGAGCGTCACCTCGACATGCTCGCGGTGCGCGTTGTCGTCGCTGCAGGCGTCCGCGCCCTCGTCGTCCCAGCGGTGCACGTACGTGCTCGCGAGCCCCGCGTAGGGCGCGCCGTCGACGAGGCACCCGGAGCCGTCGTCGTTGGTCCCGACCTCGTAGAGGTAGAGCAGCGTGTCGTAGGACGAGCCGCAGGTCGAGAAGCCGTAGCGTTTCGTCGTCGCCGGCTCGACGACGAAGAAGACGTCCGGCGCGTCGCCGCCCGACCGCCAGTGGGCCGCGTCGGACGTGGACCCGGCGCGCGCGTCGCCGCAGGTGACGACGTCGTAGAGGACCGCGTCGCAGTCCGAAATCGCGACGCCGCACGCCGTCGCCTCGCATCCCGAGCTCACGAACGCGTCCTCCAGCGCCGCCGTCGTACACCAGCCGAGGTCCTGGTTGAAGGCGGAAGCATCGTTGAACATGTAGCTCATGTCCGTCACGGCCGACGTGTCCCAGGCGCCGACGTCCTGGTCGAAGGTGATAGCGAAGTAGAACATGTAGCTCATGTCTGTCACGGCCGACATGTCCCAGGCGCCAATGTCCTGGTCGAAGGCTTCAGCACTCCAGAACATGTACTCCATGTCCGTCACGGACGACGTGTCCCAGGCGCCGATGTCCTGGTCGAAGGAGCTAGCTCCGTCGAACATGGAGCTCATGTCCGTCACGGCCGCCGTGTCCCAGGCGCCGATGTCCTGGTTGAAGGCGGAAGCGCTGAAGAACATGCTGTTCATGTTTGTCACGGACGCCGTGTTCCAGGCGCCGATGTCCTGGTTGAAGGCGGAAGCGAAGTCGAACATCGAGCTCATGTCCGTCGCGGACGCCGTGTTCCAGGCGCCGATGTCCTGGTCGAAGGCGTCAGTGCTGTAGAACATCCCGCTCATGTCCGTCACGGACGACGTGTCCCAAGCGCCGATGTCTTGGTCGAAGGCGGAAGCTTCTCCGAACATGTTGCTCATGTCCGTCACGGACGCCGTGTTCCAGGCGCCGATGTCCTGGTCGAAGGCGGAAGCACTCCAGAACATGCCGCTCATGCTCGTCACGGACGACGTGTCCCAGGCGCCGATGGCCTCGTTGAAGGAAGAAGCACTCCAGAACATGCCGCTCATGTCCGTCACGGACGACGTGTCCCACGTGGAGATGTCGCCGTAGGTGGCCGCCGCGGCCGACGGGTCCGAGTTCCACGCGGCCACGGCGACGCGGATGGAGCTGTCGTCCATGCGCGACCGCGTCGGCCAGTTCGTAGGCCCAATCGTCGCCGTCACCGTCGGCGGTTGGTGCGACGGCGCCTGCGTCGGCACCTGTGTCGGCACCTGCGTCGGCTGCGGGCTCGGCTGGTTCAGCTCGCAGTAGGCCTCGAGCTCGTCGTCCGTCACCGTCGAAATGTACGCGAGCGAGCCGCTCGTGAAGCACGGCTCGTCCGTCGTCATGTAGTACTGCCCCCCCGCGGAGATGTACTGGAGGTAGTAGTCCTGGGAGTTCACGTAGGAGCAGCGGCGCGAGCAGCAGTAGCTGTCGCCGGAGACGTCGCGGACCTTGTAGAAGGTCTCGAAGTTTGAAATGTCGATGGAGTCGCAGCAGTACTTCTCGTCGCCGCACTGGTCGTCCTGCTTCGACGGCGATTGCGTCGGGTACCCTGCCTGCGCGGCGCGCGCTGGCGCCAGCGCGGCGGCGACGACGAGCGCCAGGCAGCGGCAGCGGCGCATGGTTATGCGTTGCCCAATCACCATGACATCGGGCAGCGCATTGCCGCCGGACATTTGCTACGTTTCCGGCAACGAGCAGAGCGCGTGCAGCGTCAATCGACTCGCAATCGCCGCGACCAGCGCCGTCGTCGTCGCAGGCGTCGGCGAGAGCGTCGCGACGGACGTCGAGTCGCAGAGCACCATGGCGACGCGGCGACGCGTGCAGCAGCAGCCGCCGGCGTCGCCCGGCCCGACGACGCGGTCCCAGGCCCGCGCCGCCGCCCAGGCGCGCGAGGCCGACGAGGTCCGCGCGCCCCTCGTCGGCGGCAGCGCCGCGGCGCCGTCGCCGCCGCCGGACCACGACGCGCGGTCCGTCGCGCTGCTCATGGTCCTCTACACGCTGCAGGGCGTGCCCATGGGCCTCTCGGGCGCGGTGCCGCTGCTCCTCGCGGGCAAGGCGTCGTACAAGATGCAGTCGCTCTTCAGCCTCGCGTCGCTGCCCTTCTCGCTCAAGCTGCTCTGGGCGCCCTTCGTCGACGCGGCCTACGTGCCCGCGTGGGGCCGGCGGAAGACGTGGCTCGTGCCCGTGCAGCTCGCCATCGGCTGTTTAATGGTCGCGAGCCGGGGCCGCATCGACGCCTGGATGGCCGACGACGGCTCGGAGCCCAACGTCGAGGCGCTGACGGCGTTGTTCTTCGCGCTCTACTTCCTCTGCGCGACGCAGGACATCGCCGTCGACGGCTGGGCGCTGACGATGCTGTCCGAGGCGCGCGTCGGCTGGGCGTCGACGTGCAACTCCGTGGGCCAGACCCTGGGCTTTGCTTTATCCTACGTCGGCTTCGTCGCGCTCCACGACGAGGCGACGTGCAACAAATACCTCCGAAAGGAGCCGGCGGTCGGGGGCCTGGTCTCGCTGGCGGACTTTGTGTCGCTCTGCGGCTGGGCGTTCCTGCTGACGACGCTCTTCGTGGCCGCGGGCAAGCGCGAGGGCGACTACGGCGCGGGCTGCGACGACGGCGAGCGCGACGAAAAGAGCAAGGAGGGGCACGGCGCCTACGACGCGCTCCGCGAGCTCAAAACCGCGTACGGCCAGGCGCTCGCGACGCTCAAGCTGCCGCCCGTCGTCGGCCTCTGCGCCGTGCTCCTCACGTGCAAGGGCGCCTTCGGCGCCGCGGACGCCGTGACGTCCATCCGCGCCATCGAGTACGGCATGCCCAAGGAAGATATAGCATTATTGGCGCCGTTCCTCCTGGTCTGCTCCATCGCGCTACCGCTCGTCATCGCCCGGCGCACGTCGGGCGCGCGGCCGCTGGACAGCTTCCTCGTCGGCGTGCCCCTGCGGCTCGCGCTGAACCCGCTCATCTACTATTTGCTCGAGTACGTCAAGTACGCGCACGGCGAGGGCGGCACCGCCGCGGACAAGGTCCTCGCGTTCCGACTCTACGCGGCGCTGTCCGCCGCGCGCGAGGTCGGGTCGAACCTCATGTTCGTCTCGCAGATGGCCTTCTTCGCGCGCGTCTCGGACCCGAGCTTCGGCGGCACCTACATGACGCTGCTCAACACCATCGCGAATTTGGGCGGCAAGTGGCCGCCGTCGCTCGCGCTCTACGCGGTCGACGCCCTCAAGGGTTTCGGCGTCGACGACCCCTTCCTCGTCGAGCTCGCGGTCTGCACCGCGGGCGGCGCGCTCTGGTTTATGGTCTTCGCGCCGCGCGTGCTCGCGCTCCAGGCCATCCCGCCGAGCGAGTGGCGCGTCTCCGCCGCCCGGGCGTCGACGCCGCCGCCCGCGGTCTAGGGGGTGCAAACCCCGACTTATCATCCATCTAAACCGCAACCGTAGCTTACCACCATCACAGCAGGCCGGGGCGGTCGAGGAAGTAGGTCGCGCACGTTTCCGCGTCCGCGCCCGCGCAGTTGACGACGAAGGCCTCGTCGCCGTCCTCCTCGGGCCAGTCCGCCGCGGCGATGTCGAGGTCCTCGCCGGACACGGGCGCCTTGGACGACGGCAGCCAGAGCACCGCGCGCTGGAGCTTCTTCGGGTGCGTGAACGCGGCGAACGACTCGAGGAGCGACGGGTCGAGCGCCGCCGCGCCGCAGAGGCTCCACTGGTCGCCGTACCCAAAAACGTCGTGGGAGCAGGAGCCGCTGCCCATGTCGAAGGTCGCGTCGTCGAAATTCAACACGGCCTCGACGACCGCGCGCGCCTCCGCGGAGTCGCGCCAGAGCATGACGCCCGAGTTGAAGGTCGTCAGCGTGTCCAGGGTCGTCCGCGGCGCGCGCCAGCCCGTCGCCGCACTCGCCGCCGGGTCCGCCGCGGAGATGACCACGGCCGGGGGTCCGCGGCCGCCCGCGGGCGCCAAGAACTCGTCGAGCGAGGGGCCGTCGGGCGAGAACACGGCGTCCGCGTCCGTGACCATGACGTAGTCGCAGCGGCCGTTGGACCCGCCGTTCGCGCCGGCGCCGCCCGTCGTCAGCGCGTCGTAGGTCGCGCAGTACTTGATCTGCACGTTCGTGAGCGTGCACGCAAAGGAGTCGCGGTTTTCGCAGCACTGGGGCAGCTCGTCGGTGGAGGCGAAGACGTAGTTGAGGACGCTGTAGCCGTGGGCCTCGGCCCAGGCCGTCTTCCCGGGCAGCGTCAGGTCCGACACGGCGACGTACTCGTCGCCCGCCGCGACCTGGACCACGCAGACGCGCTCCGGGCTCGCGATGGCGAAGAGGGCGGCGTCGGGCCTCGTCGTCGCGGCGCGTAGCGCGACGAGCCCCAGGCACAACGCCGCGCCGGCGGCGTTCCAGCGGAGCGGCCGTCGCCGCGGCGTCGCGGGCGCGGCGATGGAGCCGTAAGTGGCGTCCATCGTGGATGCTACACACCGAAGAAATCTCGAAGGTGCGGCACCGTTGCCGTGCAACGATCGAGAATGGGCAGCCTCCAAACTATGGGCCGCGCCTAGGTCACGATTGAGTTCGACGGCCTCGTCGTCGAGGCGGCGCCGCGCCGCCCGCCGCCGGCGTCGCCCATGCGCCTCGTGCCGCGCACGGTCGTCGCCGCCGCGCGCCTGCGCGGCGTCCAGGCCCTCGTCGCCGTCGTCGCGGCCCTCGTCGCCGCGGCGTGCCTCGCGCCGTCGGCGGCCCTGCGCTGGGGCCTCGGCGCGGCCCTCGGCGCGGCCCTCGCCGCCGTGCTCGGCGCCGTCTACCTGCAGCCGACATTCGCGACGGACCTCGTCGAGCGCCACGAGCCGCGCGTGCTCTGGCGCGCGCGCACGAAGCGGCCCGTGGCCGCGCTGACCATCGACGACGTGCCCAACTACGGCGCGTCGCGCCTCGAGGAGATTTTAAGCATCCTGCGCGAGCACGGCGCGCGCGCGACGCTCTTCGTCATGTCCGCGTGCCGAATTCAACCACTGGTTTGGGTGGTCCTGACCAAACTTCAGAATTCTCTAGCTCGGTCAAATCGAGGTCGATTCGGCTGATTTTTGGACGAATCGATTGCTCTCGTCGAGTTCTCGAAGCACAGCCGAAAAGATTGCGTCGAAACTGTCGCATACTTTCACATTGAAGTCGGGTTGAAGATTTGAATTCCACACAGGTCATGTCCGCGTGCCTCGAGGACGCGCCGGACGCGCTCAAGGCCGCGCTCGCCGCCGCCGTCGGCGAGGGCCTCGTGGAGCTCGGCAACCACGGCGCCTACGACGAGCCCGCCGTGGCGCTCGCCGACGCGGACTTTGTCGCGAAGCACGACCACTGCGACGCGGCGATCCGAAGGCTCCAGGAGGCGACGACGTGGTTCCGGCCGGGCTCGGGCCTCGTGGACCGGCGCGTCCTCGCCTGGGCCGAGGCGAGGGGCTACCGCGTCGTCCTCGGCAACTGCTACCCCCACGACCCCCTCGACGCGACGCGTTTCGTCAACGCGTCGTACCTCCGGCGCCGCGTGCGGCCGGGCTGCGTCGTCATCCTCCACGACCGGTGGCACACGCCCGCGACGCTCCGCGCCTACTTCGCGAACGCGCCGGCGATCCGGCTGACGACGCTCACGGAGGCCTTCGCCCTCGCGGACCGCGGCGCGCCGGGCGGGGATTGGGCGGACGTGGGCGGGGGCCGCGACGCGCGCGCGCCGCCGGACTCGCCCCGGGAGACGCCAGGCCCGGGTTAGACATCGAGGGGAGGGAGGGGGAGCGGGGCTGGCGGCGCGTGCGTAGTCCGCCCCGGCGGAGTACGCGGCCGGCCGCGCCGGCGCTAGATGCCGTCGCCGTCGACGTTCTCGAGCTCCTTGCCCCAGTCTATCCGGTTCCAGAACTGGTCGTAGACGACCATGAGGCTCGTCTTGAAGATGCTGTCGGAGAGCGCGATGAGGCTGCCGACGCCCGCGGAGCCGACGATCGCGCCGGAGACGACGGCGGTGTTGACGAACGCGACGGCGCGCCAGATGAGGGCCTTGGCGATGGACCGCGAGAGGGACTCGCCGCTGCCCGTGCGGCCGATCTTGACCTTGTTGAAGAGGCGCTCGCCGAAGAACATCGTCGCCGACTTGGAGAGGAAGTCGGACGCCACGATCATAAAGGCCTGGGCAGGAAAAGAGAGATTCAAGTTCGCTTCAACATGAGTGCTCCGCGCGCGCGCGTTCCGGAAATAGCATCCACGCTTCGAGAGCGCTCCGAGAGATGATCGCTCGTCCAAAAATCAGCCGAAACGAGTGGAAAACGGCCGAGATAGGAGTCTTTGAAGTTGGGAATTTCGCTCTCTTTTTCTGCCCTGATGAAGGCCGTCTTCATGTTGCCGATGAAGTACATGGACGAGCAGAAGGTGATGAAGCCCGCCGTGACGCGCCACCCGAAGGCCTTGACGAGGCTCCGCGACGTCGTCTCGCGGAACGACGGCGCGAGCGCCTTCTCGACGTCGAGGAGCTCGCGCTTGCCGGCTACGACCGCGGCCTTCAAAGTCACGAGCTCCTTCTCCAGGTGCCGGATCTGCTCCTCCTGCGTCGAGATGCGCGCCCGGGCGATGGCCGGCGTCACGGCGTTCATGGTGGCGGCGGAGCGCCGCACGTCGCTCCTAGGCCGGCAGGCTGCTCGCCGGCTGGCGGGCACGGCGAAGGGCGCGCCGGGCGCCGCGAGGGCGAGCAGCGCGACGGCGCGCAGCATCGTCGTCGCGTGTGTAAGCGTCGCGCTATGCGTCTCGAGGTGTCTACGCGGGCTGGGCAAGCACAAATGCAGCCGGCAGCAGCAGTCTTGCGCGCCTCGCCGTCTGCGAGACGAATGCTCGAATCAATTTTTGATAGACCTTTTGGCGTTGAACCACTCGATGCACCGGCGCCCTCGCCGGCCGGCGCGTGATGCCGATCTGCAACATGCGGGCGCGGATCTGACCTGAGCCCCGAACGCCCCCGTCGTCGTTAGCGCCCGAGAACGCGCGCGCGCGACCTCTGTTCGAGCCTGAGCGTGATCGCCGTCGGAGGAATCCGCATCACCGTCGCGCGAAGGAATTCCCAAGTCGGCACCCTCTGGTGAGCTCCTCGCCGAGCACGACTGCCCGACGGGCCGTCGATTTTGCGATGCGCCGAGCTCACGCCTCGAGCCGCTGGTTGACTTTGAGGCTCGCGCTCTCGCCGGCGCGATGCTCAACATGCGGGCTCTCGTCGTCGCCTTCGTCGTCGCGTCGGCCTCGGCGAACCTGGCGTCGAAGGGCTTCGTCCTGGGCGTGAAGGCCTCCCAAAAACCCATCGGCGAGCTCGAAGCGACGCTCGACAAGGGCGACGTCGTCGCCGACCTCGGCAAACGCTGCGACAACATCGTCGCGTCGGCTTTGAAGGCCTTCGACGGGACCAAGGCCGACGACGACGGCGAGCGGTGCGCCCTCGAGCGCTTCGTCGACGCGCGCCTCGAGCGGCTCTTCCGGCAGCAGGTGCGGCTCCTCCGCGACGCCGCGGTGACGGAGCTGACCGCCGCGGACTCGTACGCGTCGCGCGCGGCCGCGGACGCGTCCTTCTGCGCCGCCTGCGCGGCGTCGAAGCGGCCCGGCGCGGACTGGGATTATGGAGTGGAGGCCGAGGGTTTGCGGGCCGTCGCGGACGCCGCGCACGGCGCGAAGAAGCGCTTCGCCGATTTACAGCTCGACGCCGCCGCCACCCAGGCGCACTACCTCTCCATCTACCAGGACCTCACGTCGGAGATCCAGCAGCTCCAGCAGCAGCAGTACAAGCCGTCGCCGCCCGTCAACGCGGGCTTCGCCTACCGCGTCAAGGACACGGACATCAACGTGTCCGGCGGCTTCCAGCAGGGCCGCGGCACGCTCCAGGTCGCGGCCGTCGACGACGAGACGCGCATGGAGGGCGAGCCGGCCATCATCACGGCGCCGTCCCACGGCAACGTCGGCTTCTCCGTGAACCTCTAAGGGACTTGTACCTCGCGTTAGTCGATCGTGAAGCCGACGACCTCGAGGTGGATGCTCAGCGCGAGGTAGTTCGCGAGCTCGTCGTAGGACTCGTACAGGGGCAGGTCGATGCGGTTGAAGCACGTGTGGGCCCGGGGCCAGACGCCGAGGTCCCGCGGCAGGGACGCGAGCGTGAAGTTGCAGTAGTGGCCGTCGTCGCCGACGAGCGCCTTGAAGCCCGCGGGCGGCAGCGACGACGTGCCCGTGGAGAACTGGCAGAGCCGCGCGCGCTGCTCGTTGTCGAAGGCGTCGACGCAGTCCCAGAAGAACTTGACGACGGGGTGCTTCTCCCGGAGCTCCGCGAAGGCGCCGAGGTACCGCGTGTGGCGCCGCCAGTCGTCGACGTCGATCTCGTCGACGCCGCCCAGCAGCAGCTGCAGCTCCTGGTAGTCGAAGACGGACAGGTACGTGCGGGGCAGGATGTCGTCGAAGCCCTGCAGGAACGCGGCGAGCTGCGGCGCGACCGCGTCCAGCACCTTGTACTTCAACACGAGCGCCAAGAACTCCGCCTTGTTGTCGTCGGTCACCGGGACGTCGCCGCCGTTGGGCACGAGCTCCACGGGCGTCTTCGGCGCGCCCTCGTCGTCGCCGTCCGCAAAGATCGTGAAGTCCAAACACAGGTCCTCCGCGCCGCCGTTGTCCCGGAGCCACGCGTAGTTCAGGAACGCCTCCGCGTCGACGAACTCGAGGTCCGAGAAGGACAGCGGCACGCCGAGCACGTGCTTCAGCAGCGGTAAGGACAGCGTCGCCGGGATGGTCACGCGCTCCCGGAGCGCCTTGGCGACGAAGCGCCCCGCGAAGCGCAGCAGCCGCACGTCGCCGATCTTTTCGCCGCGCGCGAGCTCGCCGCGCGGCGCGAGCGCCGCGCGCGCCGCGTCGTGGCGCGCGTCGCCGCTCCGCGGGTCGAGGTTGCAGGCGTAGCCGCTCTCGCGCCGCGCGACGAAGAGGCCGAGGCCGCCGTTCGCGAAGAGCTCGCGCGCGACGACGTCGAACCACTCCCGGGACACGCCGCCCGCGTCGATGCCCGCCTCGCCGGCGAAGCGCACGCGCACGGACGCGTTGCGCAGGCGGTCCACGCTGAGCTGCTCGAAGCGCTTCAGGCTGTCGAAGAGGCACGCGCCGCGGCGGACGTCGAGCGTCACGGGCCGGTAACTTCGACTCCGCGGCCGCCGCGGGTCCGTGCCGTGGAGCCCGTCGAGCGCGCGCTCGAACCAGAGCTGCTTCTCCCGGAAGGGCCGCGACGCGACGTACTCCAGGTCCTCGTCGTCGACCGCGGCGGCGCCCCGCGGCTCGCGCGGCTCGAAGAGCGACCCGTTGGGCCGCCGCCGCCGCGCCGGCGCCGAGGCGCGCGGCCCGCAGCACGCGCAGCACGCCGCCGCCTCGTCGTCCGGCGGCGGCGGCTCCGCCGACGACGCGGGCTCCGACGCGGCGGCCGGCGCGGGCGGCGCGGTGATCGGGTTCCACGCGAGCGCGCCCTCGGCCTCGGAGACCTGGGCGGGGTGAATTTGACTGAGTGTTCCACGCGCGCGCGTGCCAGGAAAAGCATCCACGCGTCGCGAGCGCTCCGAGAGCTGATCGCTCGTCCAAAAAACAGCCGAAACGAGTGGGAACCGGCCGAGATAGGAGCCTTTGAAGTTGGGAAGTTCGCACCCTTTCCTGCCCTGAAGTCGACGACGAACGCGAGGGACTGGCGGTCCTCCTCGAGCGCCGCGCGCGTCCAGTGGACGGCGTTTCCGTCGCGCACGCGCTGCCAGACGCGCCGCCGCGCCGCGCCCTTCTGGCGGAGCGTGAGGTCGTTGAGCCGGCGGATCGCGAAGGCCTGCGCGCGCGCCTCCGCGGAGAGCGTCGGCGACTCGCTCCGCCGCTGGGGCCAGCAGCGCTGGGGCCGGGCGCTCTGCCCGCCCTCGGACGACCCGCGGCCGGAAACGGAGCAGCGCTCGACGGAGCAGCGGTCGTTCGAGGGCCGCGCGGCGTCGCCGTCGTCGGACAGACCGTCGGGCGTCGGCGGCCGCGCGTCCGAGCCCCGGGGGCGCGCGCCCCGGGAGCCCGTGCTGCCGGTCAACGAGTCGCCCTTGCGGGAGCGGAGCCGGTCCTCGAAGGCCCTGGAGAGGTCGCTCGCGCCGCCGCAGAGCAGGCAACTCCGCGCGCGCGCCTTGTTCTCGAACGCGCAGACGAAGCAGACCCAGGCCGCCTCGCCGCTCTCCGCCAGCGAGTCGCGCAGGAGCACGAAGCGCTGCTCGTCGGGCGGCCGGCTCTCGGAGCCGTCGTAGCCCACGAGCCGCGCGTACGCGCCGCCGTGCTCCGGCTGCCACGCGTTCACCGAGAGGCACGTGCAGCCGCAGAAGAGCACGAGGGCGATGACGATGACGAAGAAGTAGCCCTGGACGAAGCTCGGGTCGTCGTCGTCGGCCGCCGCGTCGTCGGCCGCCGCCGGGTCGTCGCCGGCGGCGCCGGCGAGCCAGTGTCGTGTGTGTGGGATGGTCTGTGCGATGGCGCGTTGCGCGCCGCGCAGGCGCGGCGGCGGCGCGGCGGCGGCGGCGGCGAGGGCCGCGGCGGCGACGAGCAGCCGCGCCATCGTCGCGGGGCTGCCTTTGAACCACGAGAAGACCTTGTGGGACTCGCGGCAAGACCAATGGGGCTGCGAGAAGGTTTTTGGAGATGGCTCAACAAAGTAATGGCGCCGCCATGCTGCCTAGATGCTGCCCTTTTGGTGCACGGGTGGCTCGTGGAATAGGCAACGGCGGCAGCCTCCGTCGGTTGTCGGCCCAGCGCCGCCGCTCGCAGTCGCGACGGTGCGCGCGCCGCCGCTGGGACCGTCGCCGCCATTCGGTCGCCCCGCGCCGGCGCCGGCGACCGGCTGGCGTCCATGGACCAGGAGAAGGTCGACGGCCTCGTCTTCAGCAGCAACTTCGACAGCGGCAACCTCCAGAGCGCCGAGCGCGCCAAGGACGGCGCCTGGGAGCTGACGATCGCCAAGGACTGCGAGGGCACGGAGTTCGAGCGGCGGAGCAGCACCTGGTTCTACTTCCGCGTGCGCGACGAGCGCGAGGCCGAGCTCAGCATCGCCAAGCGCGACAAGCGCGGCGCGCGGTTCCGCTTCACGGGCATGTCGCGCCAGGGCGCGCTCTACAAGAACGGCATGCGGCCCGTCGTGCGGCGCCTGACCGAGAAGCGGGCCGCGGGCGGCGCGTCCTGCTGGGCGGGGCTCGCGGGCGACGGCGGCTGGAAGCGGCTGCCGACGGGCGTGTGCTACCGGGAGCAGAGCGACCGCACGGGCGACCTCCAGTTCGACTGGAACTTCGGCACTTTAGGCGAGGAGGTCGAGTTCGCCTTCTGCTACCCCTACGCCTACGAGGAGTCGCTCGCGACGCACGACGCGCTCTGCGCGAAGCACGCGGCGGGCGTCCACGCGCCGCAGCCGCCGCCGCCGGGCGCCGCGCCCCACCCGCCGCCGCCGAAGCGCAAGAACACCGCGAGCGCCGCGCCGCCGGGCGCCGTCGCGCCCAAGGAGACGCCCCAGCAGGCCGACGAGCGCATCGTGCTCCACCGCGAGCTGCTCTGCTTCTCCGTCGAGAAAAGGCGCGTGGAGATGCTGACGATCACGGACGCCTTCGGCGCCGCCGCGGTTCGCGAGTCGACGCTCGACCCCTACGTCGACGTGCTCCACGGCGCCGCCGCGGGCAGCGACGGCGCGCCGCCGCCCGTGGACGAGAGCAAAAACTACGACGCGTCGTGGCTCTTTCCCGAGGCGCGCGACGGCTCGAGCCTGCGGCCGGAAGTCTACCCGGACAAGCCCGAGGTGCTCGTGAGCGCGCGGGTCCATCCGGGCGAGACGCCGGCGTCCTTCGTGCTGGACGGCTTGCTGGAGCTGCTGCTAAGGCCGGACGACCGCCGGGCGAAGCTGCTGCGGCGCAAGTACGTCTGGCGCTTCGTGCCCCAGCTGAACCCCGACGGCGTCGCCCGGGGCCACTACCGCCACGACGTCTTCGGCGTCAACCTGAACCGCGTCTACTGGCCCCGGCCGGACCACCGCGCGGCGCCCGCGCAGGCCGCGCTCATGGTCCTCGCGCGCGCGGCGAGTTGCCAGCCCGCGGGGCTCGCGCTCTTCGTGGATTTGCACGCGCACGCGACGAAGCGGGGCGTCTTCATCTACGGCAACCACATCGACGACGAGGCGCGCCAGGTCGAGAACAAGCTCTACGCGCTCCTCCTGGCCGTGAACTCGAGCTTCTTCGACTACAACGCGTGCAACTTCAGCCGCGAGCACATGCTCCGCCGCGACCGCGCGGACGCGGGCGGCGCGTCCGCCGAGGGCGCCGCGCGCGTCGCCGTGCTCCGCTACACGGGCCTCGACCGGGCCTACACGCTCGAGTGCAACTACAACAGCGGGCGGCTCACGAACCACGTGCCGGCCGCGCGCGGCGAGGGCGCGAACCGCGGCGCGTCCCCCGAGCGGCCGGCGACGCTCAAGATGGATAGTTACACGCCGGACATGTGGCGCGAGGTCGGCCGGGCCCTCGGCGCCGCGCTCCTCGACGCCTTCTGCGAGAACCCCTGGGACCGCGTGGGCTCGAGCCGCTGGAAGTCCGTCGACGTCATGCGCCAGTGGCTCGGCGACCACCCGCGCAAGGTCAACGGCCGGCCGCGCCGCAAGAGCCGCCCGACGCTCACCGTCGCCGACACGAACGGCGGGCCCACGCTCCCCCTGCTCCCGCGCCGCAAGGCCGCGTTCACCTAGGCCCCCGCGCGCGCGCTGCTTCCTGTCTTTTGTTTTAACACCTAGCCGTCAGCTGCCCCAGGGCGACGCCCAGGGCGCCGCGCCGTCGATGGCCCGCGCGAAGGCCGCGCTGAGGTCGCCCTGGTCCCGGAGCATTCTCGCGAAGCCGTGGTGGCCCACGTCGACGTCCACGGGCGCGAGGTCCACGCACGGCGACGCGCGCGCGAGGAGCTGGGCCTGGTGGTCGTCGCGGCAGACGCCCGGCGGCGACTTGCCCGAGATGTTGTGGAGTTTGGACTGTTGCGAGCACTTGAGCGCGTGGAAGACCGTCGCGCGCGTCCCGCAGCCCGCGTCGCCGACGGACCGCCAGAGCTCCCGGAGGTCCAGGTTCGCCGGGAACTCGAAGTCGTCCTCGGCGAGCACGACGAAGGGGTTCGTCACGACGACGGCCGACGCCCGCAGGTGGGCGCCCAGCAACAGCGCGCCCGTGCCGCCCATGGAGTCGCCCACGCACAACACCGCCGACGGCGCGAGCCCCTGCTGCCCCAGGAGCGTCGCGATGGCCCGCGCCGTCGTCCCCGGGTCGCCGCCTAAACCGCGCACGCCGCCCAGGTAGAACCGCTTCGTGACGTCGCGCACGTAGAGCGCGTGCACCGTCTCGCCGAACGTCCGCTTCATCATGCCCTTGAACTCGTAGTTGAGCACGCCCCCGAAGGACGAGCAGCAGACGACGAGCGGCGCGTCGGCCACGGGCGCGCCGGCGTCGTCCTTGGCCAGGAACAGCTGGTAGTCGTGGAGCTCGTTGTGCACGTCCATGTCCAGATCCGTCGTGATCGCGTTGACTATTTGGTCCACGAGGCAGGCCTGGTCCCAGCCGCAGTCCTCGGCGCCGAGGCCGTTGGCCTCGTCGATGACGCGCAGCGCCATCTGCCGCGGCTCCCAGCCCTGGACCCGGATCTCCTGCATCTCGATGTCCTCGTGGTGGCGCCCGCTCCAGTCCTTGGCCTCGTCGTAGTTCACGTGGCCGATCCTGGGCAGCAAAAGGGTGATTCAACGTCGCTTCAACGTGAGTGTTCCGCGCGCGCGCGTTCCGGAAAAAGCATCCACGCTTCGAGCCGTTCCGAGAGATGATCGCTCGTCCAAAAATCAGCCAAAACGAGTGGAAAACGGCCGAGATATGAGCCTTTGAAGTTGGGAATTTCGCTCTCTTTTGCTGCCCTGGGCCGATCATGAACTTGAGCGGCGGCGCGCCCCGCGACCGGTAGCGCGTCGAGTTCCGCAGCTTCGCGGCGTCGAGCACGCGCAGCCCGAGCTCCGCGCCGGAAGAGACGTAGAACGCGGGCGGCGCGCCCAAAAAGGCGCCCTCCGGGTCCGTGAAGAACAAGGTCTCCTGGGGCCCGACGTGCCACTCGCTGAAGAGGGCGACGCTCCCCGGCGTGACCAGGGGGCCCTCGCAGTACCGGCGCACGACGTCGTGGACCCGCTTCCGGAAGTCGAAGAAGTAGGGGTCCGCGCCCACGTAGGGGATCGCCGCCGCGACGGTCGAGACGCCGAGCGCCTGCGCGTGCGCGTGCAGTTGCACGACGTCCGCGCCGACGTCCTCGGGCGTCGCGCCGCCCCGCAGGTCCTCGTGGCCCGCGAAGATGACGACGACGTCGACGGGGTCGCCCGCGTCGCGCATCGCCGCGAGCGTCGATCCTAGACCGACGCGGAGCTGCGGCGACTCCGCGGAGACGAACGTGCCCGCGTCGAAGAGCGCCGCGGCGTTGCGCCGGTCCAAAAAGTGGTCGCACATGCGCCGCGCCGTCCAGTGCAGGTGGCTCACCATGTCGACGACGGCCGCGGACCCGAGCGTCTGCTCGATGCCGTCGTGGACCGTATAGGTCCAGTCGCCCAAGTCGCAGGCGTCGACGTCGGGCCGGTCGCAGCCGAGGCCCGTGAGCGGGCTCGAGCCGTAGGCGAGCACGCGCAGCGGCCGCCGCGCGTCCGCGGCGGCGGTTGTCGCCAGCAGGGGCAGCAGCCCCATAGCGCAGCGGATCTGCCCCATAGTGATATATTGCACTAAAGCGTGTTAACAAGCTCAACATCAGCCGGCACGAGCCTGCGGCAGCTATGGCGCCGGCGCGGGGAGCCGCCGCAACGCTAATACGCGCTCGCGGAGCTCTGCGCGTTTCGCGACACGCACCGAGCATTCCTCGACACGCGCTGAGCACGCTGCCCACGGCGCGCTACGAGGCGCTCGTGGCCGACGGCGCGCTGCGCCGCGACGACCACCAGTTGGCGGCCTTGCGGACCCTGGACCGGGTCTGGACGCAGCTCGAAACCTACGAGCCGCCGAACGTCCGCGAGGAGGCCGCGACGCTCGAGAAGGAGGCGACGACGGAGACGCTGGGCCAGCGCTTCGCGGCCTTCGCGCAGGGCCTCGGCATCGCGGTCGGCGGCGGCACGGACCGGCCGAGCGGCGCGTCGGGGCCCGTCGTGAGCCGCTTCGGGTCCAACTACGACTACGACGCCGAGCGGCCGCGGGCGAAAACAATCGAGGCGGCGCCGCTCCTCGGCCTCGACTCCAAGGCGCCCGTCGGCGCGTACGTCCACGGCGGCGTCGGCTGCGGGAAGACGTATGTGATGGACCTCTTCTTCGACGTCGCGCCGACGCAAAACAAGCAGCGCGTCCACTTCCACGCCATGATGCTCGACGTCCACGGCAAGCTCGACGCGCTGCGGCGCCGCGACGGCCCGCCGCACCCGAACCCGATGCGGGCCGTCGCGCTCGACGTCCTCCAAAGCGGGTCGCTCCTCTGCTTCGACGAGTTCCAGGTCACGGACATCGCCGACGCGCTCGTGGTCAAGTCGCTCTTCGAGCACCTCTTCGACAGCGGCGCCGTCGTCGTCGCGACGAGCAACCGCGCGCCGAGGGACCTCTACGAGAACGGCGTGCAGCGCCAGGTCTTCGAGCCGCTCATCCCTGTGTGGAAATCAAATCTTCAACCCGACTTCAATGTGCGCGTATTCGAATTTTGACACAAACACTTCCGCTGCGCTTCGAGAACTCGCTGAGAGCAATCGATCCGTCCAAAAATCAGCCGAATCGACTTCGATTTGACCGAGCTAGAGAGTTCTGAAGTTTGGTGGGGGCCCCCAAACCAGTGGTTGATTTCCACACAGGCTCATCCCGCTGCTCGAGGCGCGGTGCGAGACCGTGTCCCTGGACGCGTCGCCGACGGACTATCGCTTCGTCATCGGCGCGTCCGGGAGCGCGGACGTCTACTTTCTCGACGACGACGTCGGCGGCTTCGAAGACTCGATCGCGCGCTTCACCAAGCGCGGGGACCGCGTCGTCGCCATCGACCTGCGGATCCCGGGCTCGACGCGCACGGTGCCCGTCAAGCAGGCCATGTTGGGGTCGCGCGCGTGCCGCTTCGCGTTCGACGAGCTGTGCGGCGGACGGCTCGGCTACGCGGACTACTACGCGTTGGCGCAGACGTTCGACGTCGTCTTCGTCGAGCACGTGCCGCGGCTCGAGGCGGGCATGATGGACGAGGCGCGGCGGTTCATCACGCTCGTCGACGCCCTCTACGAGTACGGCGTCAAGGTCGTCGTGCGGGCCGCGGCGCCCGTCGGCGAATTGTACGTCGTCGACGCGGAGAAGCAGGCCGCGCTCGACGAGGCGAATCTCGACGTCATCGGCGGCGACGCGACGTACCAGATGACGGGCGACCGGCGCGACGAGTCCTTCGCCTTCGACCGCTGCGTGTCGCGCCTCGTCGAGATGGGCTCGCTGGACTACCTCAAGCGCGCGCCGAGCCGGACCGCGCGCGTCGCGTGCGAGCCCGGCGACCTCACGGAGCCGGAGATCGACGACCTCTTCCGGCGCCTCGACGTCGACCGCTCCGGGTCGCTGTCCACCGACGAGCTGCGCGCGTTCCTGTCGGAGATCTCCAAGGAGAAGCGCGGCCACCGCAACGTCGGCGACGAGGAGCTCGCCTACGCGCTCGGCCGCCTCGACGCGAACGGCGGCGACGTGTGCAAGGGCGACCTCGCGGCCTTCCTCCGCGAGCTCCCGACGAGCCACGGCTGGGGCAACCTCCTCAAGGCCGCGCCGTCCTAACCTTTTTTGGACGACCGCGGTCGTATTTCACAGCCGATTCCAGGCGTACGTCGCATCGATGCGCGATCGTATCGACAGCGGAAGGACAGGCGCGGTCGTGTTTACAGCCGTTTCCAGGCGTACGTCGCGCGAGGTTCGCCGCGTCGCCGCGGGGGTTTACGCCGCGTCGCCTCCCCCCCGCGCGCGCCGCTCACATGAGGTCGTCGTCGTTGTCGTCGGAGTCGTCGGAGTCGCAGACGACCCTCCGTCGGTCGAACTTGACCTTGGACTTCTCGCGGTCCTCGGCGCCGGCCGTCTCGAGCATGTTGATGAGGACGTCCTCGGTGACCTGCTTCTGGATCTCGCCCTTCATGGCCATCTGGATGAGCTTCATCTCCAGCGCCTCGGCCTTGGCCGTCTTGACGATCTTCACGCGGCCGAGGCGCTCCAGAGCCTCGGGCGTGAGGATCTGCTTGAGGATCTGGGCCTTTTGCGCGTCCTGCTCCTGCTTCTGCGCCTGCTGGTTCGGGTCGGCGCTGAAGCCCGACATGCCCGCGATGTCGCCGGCGCCCGCGGCGGTCACGCCGGGCGGCAGGTTCATGGCGGACATCGCGTTGCGGCGCGTTTGCAAGCGCTGCGCGCGAGCGTTTGGCGGCGCCGGCTGTGGCAGGGCGTCAACGCCGAGCAAAGGTCGACTCCTTGCCGTACTCCGACGATGGGCTGCGCTCTCAGGACCTAACCTCCCCGGGGGCGGCCCCATGTAGCCGGCGCCGACGACCACATGGGGGCCGCGCGTTCCGTCCTGCGCCGGGCGACGAGCATCAAGGGCAGCACGCGCGAGCGCTTCCTGCTGACGGAGGAGGAGGTCGAGGAGGACGCGGCGTGCCTCGAGGCCCAGCGGCGGTCCATCAAGTACTGCGTCGACAACCTCTACTACGGCGCGCCCGTGCAGCTGTCGGGCGTGCGCACGCCCAAGCACCACCTGCCGTCGGCCCTCGTCGCCTTCGACGCCGGGAGGGGGTCCCTGGGCGCGGAGATGCTCGGCGACGGCGAGCAGCTGAGCTCGTTCCCCGCGTCCTGCGTCGTCTCGCCCACGGGCGACATCATCGTCACGCGGCGGGCCGCGGCCGCCGCCGACGAGGAGGCCAAGGACGAGCGCGGGGGCGAGACGCGGCAGATCATCCGCGCGTCGACGCTCGCCGAGGTCGTCGGGCCGCCCGTGTCGCCGAAGATGGGCGCGACCGTCGAGGCGACGGCCCACTCGCTGCGCGTCACCTGGGCGACGCGCGACGGCGACGCGGCGAGCGAGCTCATCGACAAGTTCGAGGTCGCGTACCGGCCCTACCTGGCCGCGGCGTCGGGCTCGCCCGTGGGCTGGCGGGCGCTCGCGGTCGTCGACGTCGCGCGCGGCGGGCGGCGCAGCGCGCTGGTCGCGTCCCTCGAGCCCGACGCGGCCTTCGAGTTCAAGTGCCGCGCGCGGAACAACGTCGGCTGGAGCGCCTGGAGCCCGGCCCGCCAGTTCCGCACGTCCGCGTCGCCGCCCGAGCCGCCGGACGTGCCCGTGGCCGGCGTGCTGCGGAGCGAGGCCATCGCGCTCTGGTGGCGGGAGCCGGCGCGGACGTTCGGGTCGCCCGTGCGGACTTATGTATTGCGCGCGCGGCGCGCGGACGGCCCGCCCGCGGACGGCGAGGACGAGAGCGACGGCGGCCTGTGCGACGACGCGCCGCTCGACGGCATGCGGCGCGACGGCGGCTGGCGCGTGCTCTACGCGGGGCCCCTGACGCGCTTCCTCGCCTGCGGTCTGGAGCCGGGCACGAACTACGCGTTCGCGGTGGCGGCGGTCAACGGCGTCGGCGCGTCGGAGTTCGGGCGCGCGGGCGCGTTCAAGACGCCGTCGCGGGCCGGCGCGGACGACGGCTACGCGGGGCCGGAGAACGCGGCGCTCCTGCGCCGGGGCGACATGTGGCTCGAGTGCTGGGACCCCGTCCAGGAGTCCGTCTTCTACTTCCACCGGCTGACGGCGCGGCGCGAGCGGACGGCGCCGCCGGAGTTCGTCGAGCTCCGCAACGAGTCGAACGAGCGGCGGCAGCTGGGCCTGCTGTCCGACGAGGACGTCAGGGCCGACGCCGCGTCCCAGTTCCGCGTGAAGCGGTACCGCTTCCACAAGGAGCTGCGCCAGCGCGTGCACCTGAAGCTGTCGCGGCCGCGGAGCGCGACGCGGCCGCCGCCCGCGCGCGCGGCGGCGTCCCCCGCGTCCGACAAGGGGCAGCGGTGCCTCGTCGTGCTCCGGCGGTCGCACCTCCGCGGCGACTCGCTCGACGCGCTCCGGTGCCTGCCGGCGCCGGAGCTCAACAAGCGCTTCAAGATCGAGTACGACGGCGAGAACGGCATCGACTCGGGCGGCCTGACGAAGGACTGGTACCTCGCGCTGAGCCACGGCTTCGCGGACGTGAATTTCGGGTTTTTCTCGAAGACGCCGGCCGGCGACCTCGAGCTCAAGCCGAGCGACGAGCAGGGGGGGCGGCCCGTCGACGACTTCAAGGCCCTGGGCCGCTTTTTAGCCAAGGCCGTCTTCGACCAGCAGTGCGTGGATCTGCCGCTGGCCGCGCCCATCTACAACGCGCTCCGGGGCATCGGATTAGAAGAAGAGCGCGACGCCGCGCCGGCGTTCAACTCGCCGCGGCGGCCGCGGCCGAGGCCCCTCCCCGGCGGGTTACCGCCGCTCGCGCCCGTCGTGCGCGTGCCGCCGGCGCTGCTGGCCGCGGCGCTCGACGAGGTCCGGAGCGTCGACCGGCCGTTCTACCGGTCGCTCCGGTGGATCCTGGACAACGACCTGGGCGACGACGGCGGCGGTCTGGACGCGACGTTCTCCGTGCAGCGCGGCGACGTCGAGGTCGACCTCAAGGAACGGGGGCGGTCCGTCGCGGTCGTCGAGCGCAACAAGCACGAGTACGTGTTCCTGGTGGCGCGGTGGCGCGCGCGGCACGCGACGGCGATGGAGATGGACGCGCTCCTGGACGGCGCGGCGGAGGTCGGCGTCGTGCCGGATTTGCTGCGGCGGTTTTCCTTGGAAGAGCTGGACCTGCTCGTGAACGGGCGGCGCGACGTCGACGTGGGGGAGCTCGAGGCGTACTGCCTCCACCAGGGCGAGGGCTTCGCGCCGGACCACGCCGTGAGCCTCTGGTTCTGGCAGATGATGCACGAGTTCGACGACGACATGCGCGCGAGGGCCCTGGCCTTCGCGACGGGCTCGAACAAGATCCCGCTCGACGGGTTTTCTCCGCCGCTCACGCTCACGCTCGACCCCCTGCGCGTGGACGCGCTCCCCGTGGTCCACACGTGCTTCAACCAGATCGTCCTCTCGAACTTCACGTCCTACGCCACGATGAAGAAGCAGTGCGCCTTCGCGATACGCAACTGCGCGACCTTCGAGCTGTCCTAATGTTCATTAGTGGTGACGTTCAATTTTGTCGGGCTCGTTCGGGGTGCCTCCTTCTTTAGCGATTCGTCCTAGAGGTAGGGGCCGATGAGGGCCTTGACCTCGCGCGGGACCGAGTCCGGGACGCAGTCGCGGAGCAGCGCGGCGACGATCAGCGCGGCCTTGCGCTTGGCGGGGACGCCCGCGAACAGCACGACCGACCGCTTCTCGACGGTCACGCGGCCGCGGCGCACGAGCTGGACGAGCGCCTCGAGGCCGACGGCCACCGCGACGGCGACGGCGTTGGCGTTGTTGGCGGCCACTACGTTGCGCAGCGTGTTTGCGGCCTGCCGCTTGGCCTCCGGGTTCCCGTCGCGCAGGAGCTCGACGAGCGGCGGGATGCCGCCCGCCGCGGCGATCAAGACCCGGTTGGCGGCGTTGTTGCACGCGAGGTTGTGCAGCGCCCGCGTGGCATGAAATTTGGCTGGCCCCATCGCGCTCCCGTTGCGCAGAAGCTCGACGAGCGGCAGGATGCCGCCCGCCGCGGCGATCAAATCCCGGTTGTCGTATGAGTACGCGAGCCAGCCCAGCGCGACCGCGGCCTGCGCTTTGGCCTCCGCGGTCCCGTCGCGAAGTAGCTGGACGATCGGCGGGATGCCGCCGGCCTCGGCGATCAGGTCAGCGATCAGGTGACCGCTGTTGTCGAAGCGGTACGCGAGGGTGCACATACGCCGCAGCGCCGCGGTCTTCGCTGCGTCGTCACCCTCGCGCAACTCGCGGATCAGCCCCTCGATCTCCATGCTTGACCCCTTAGTAAAACGCCGACGTTGAGCACTGTTGACAAACTCAACTTCTCGATCCGCCTGACGATGCGACACGCCTGGGCGCTGCTCGTCAGCGCGAGCGCCGCGGCGCTGCTGCAGGCGCCGCGCAGCGCGCTGCGACCACCCGTGCGACCACCCGTCCGGCGCGCCGCGAACGGCGGCGACGGCGACGGCGAGTCGCTGCGCGACGCCTGGGACGCCGGCGTGGAGAACGGCAAGGAGATCCTCGCCCGCTTCACGAACCCCGTCGTCGACGACCAGGGCCTCATCATCGCCGACGCCCTGATCGCCGGCGTCGTCGCGCCGGGCCTCGAGGCCATCGTGTGCACGGCCGCGGGCGTGCCGTTGCCGCTCTGGGCGTCGGCGTTCGGCAGCCGCAAATTGGTGCTCCCCGTGCTCGTCCGCGGCGCGACGGAGGCGACGTGCTGGTACGCCGGCGCCGTGTCGGCGCGGCTCTACGCGCGCGACGCCTACGACTTCCCGCCGCCGGCGGGCGCCGACGACCGCTTCGCGACGACGGTGAAGCGCACGTTGCAGGCCGGCAGTTTCGCGACGGCGCTGCTCATCGGCGCGACGCAGCTCCAGCTCGCGCTGCGCTACGGCTTCCCGGCGCCGCAGCTCGGCGACTCGCCGGAGACGGACATGGTGCTGCTGCGGACGCTCGACGACCTGCTCCGCGACATCGCCACGGAGGCGCTCACGCTGCTGAGCTGGCGCGTCGCGCGGACGGAGCTGTCGCGCCTCGATAGCGACCCGACGGCCTAGGGTTTCATAAGGGTTGGTAGTTCCCAGCGGCTACCGGTCGATGAGGTACGTCTCGAAGTCGATCCTCGGTATAAGGTTCAACAAGTTGAAGTTACCCGCTACTTGCCGTAGCGGCGCTGCCGCCGCGCGTACTCGTCGAGGACGGCGTCGAAGTCGTCCTCGGCGAGCTCGGGCCAGTGCTTGTCGAGGAAGACGAGCTCCGTGTAGGCCATCTGCCAGAGGAGGAAGTTCGAGAGCCGCCGCTCGCCGGACGTGCGCACGAGCAGGTCCGGCGGCGACCGCAGGGCGAGGGCGGCGCCGAGGGACGCCTCGTCGACGTCGCCCGCGTCCATCTCGCCGGCGGCGACGCGCTCCGCGAGCTTTCGCGCGGCGCGCGCGATCTCGCCGCGCGCGCCGTACGACACCGCGAGGTGGAGCGTCAGCGCCGCGTCGGCAAAGGCCGTCTCCGTTTCGAGTGTCTCCAGCGCCGCGCGCACGTCGGCGGGCAGGCGGGTCGCGTCCGTGCAGAGCACGTCGCACCTGACGCGCTTCTCGCGCGCGTGTTTCAAAATCTCGGAGCACTGGTCGACGAAGGTCCGCATGAGCAGCGCGACCTCCGCGGAGTCCCGGTGCCAGTTCTCCGTGCTGAACGCGAAGGCCGTCACCTCCGCGACGCCCGCGCGGAGGCACCAGTCGACGACCTCGCCGAGCTTGCGGCCGCCGGCCGCGTGGCCCTCGAGCCGCCGCGCGGGGCCGAACCGCTTCGCGCCGAAGCGCCGGTTCCCGTCCATGATGAAGGCGACGTGCGCGGGCAGGATGCGCCGCTGGCGGGGTTGCTGCGGCGTCTGCGGAGCGCTGCGGGCCTTGACCCGCCGCACTAGGACCAATGCGAGGAGCGAGGCGCCCAGGAGCGGCGCGGCGGCCGCCGGGAGCCAGTCCATGGCGTCGCACGGTTTTTTCTAGTGCGCGTTAAAAGTCCTGCGCGTCGTCGCGGTCGACGGCGCGTTGCGGCGCGCCTCGAACGGCTCGGGACGCGACGCGCGGCGGCCGACTGCGGCCCACGTCGCCAGGCTTTAGCGGCTCGTTTGCCGCAAGCTCGGCTTCGCCAAGCCTCTCGTGCGCCAAGGGGACA